AATAAGCTCATTAGAATACATAGCTTTCAGTGTTTGTTACCACATGGTTGGTGATGCTGGTGCGTCTCATGGCGATTTCTCCTCGGGATAATCGATTGCCTTATGTTTTGCAGGTGACAAGTGTGAATGACTGTGCCTTGAGATGTGGCTGCACACCCCATTGGTCTGAACACCTCCATCGTTTTTTATTTAGAATTTGATCATTAAGGAAAATCACGGACTAGAAGGCTATTGTCTTTATAATTTGAATATAGCCTTTCCCAAACATATCTGTGAGGATGGGTGTAGCTGGCTTCTTTTGTGTGGCCTGTCGATGACATGGAGGAGAGTTCTGTCCTAGAGCCGCTCGTCGGCAGTGCCGACTGTAGAAAAGTGCTCAGGAGCATCCGGGTGGACGGCACTCAGGATGGTAGATAACGGAGAAGACGTTGGCCTGAGGTACTTTTTACTAAGCATATCTTAGAGAATGGCTTTTAAAAAGTCTTAAAGGGAAAAAAACTTTGGGGGGAGGGTTAAGAAGGGTTGTTTTATACAGAATTAAACTATTAAACTGTGACATTGAAGCTCATCATTCCCTATTACCTCTCTTTGTAAAAGATATTTTTACTTGGGAAGTTATCTTTCAAGTCACAAATAGCAGGTTGTGTTCTGCCTCTTTCCTGACTGGAGGCTGCTGAGCAGGGACCCTTTTGAGCTTCCTTACCTTTCTGTCCTGGGACCCTCTCCCCTTTGGGACATAATGTTGTGGAACACACTTCTTGCCCTGTTTTTTTGTTTTTGTTTTTCCTTACAATCTAATAATGGAAATATATCCTTCAAATGATGGTGGTTAATTGTATATCTCTATGGATAAATAAAAATGAAATTAATAAAAAGAGCTGATGTGTACTGCTCTTTTTAAAAAGAAATAGTAAAACACTGATCTTTTTATTCCTGTGGACGGTTGTCTCTCAAGAAAAACTAAATTGGAATAAGGGGAATTTGTCTAATGGCAATAGTCAGTGGGAGATGATGGCGTAGCTCTTAGTAAAGGCAGGGGTTTTGTATGTGCGTTTGCCCTTTATGGACAGGTAGATACCATAGACGGTAAGTATTAAGAGAACATACATGACATTATTGAAAATCAGTGGCATCACGTCATATGCTTAGGTTCTGAGCAGAATGAAAGTGCATTCCTGTACAAGGCAGCCTTCCATCTTTCCCCCTCTGCTTCTCAGTTGATGGGGCAGTTCCACTTGTTCCACTGAGTCAGTAGAGTTGGAATGCACGCGAGGGCAGTGGTCTCTCTTGGAGAGAAAGAGGAGGCTGTCTGTCTCTATGAAGATTACACTCTTGGAAACCTACAGCGGCAGTTCTGTTCCATCAAGTCACTGAGAATTGGAACCCGTGGGATGGCAGTGAGAGTGGGGTTTCTGATTTGAGTATTCAGTAATAGTAAAGAACTATTCCTAATAATACATAAGGCATCTGTGATTTCTGGAATACTTCTGCTGCTTCTGCTTCAGTCTACTACCCCATTGACTCTACCATTGGGTGGTGTTGTGTCCAGTAAGGAGTAGCATGCTTTGTTAGTCTGGGTAAACTAGAAAAACAAAGCCACAAACTCATATATGAATAAGAGAGAGTTTTATATAAAGGGTAAGTGTACATTCAGAAAGCATCCCAACCCAGTCCAGTCCACGCCCATAAATCTAACTTAGCCCATATGTCTGACACCGATCTATAAAGCCCTCCTCAAATTTACAAAACACACACAATGACACCGAATGCAGGAGGATCACAGGCTAGTGGGTAGAAAGTCTTTGAATCTAGTGGTGGTATAAGCATCTCAGCACTGGCAGGGGTCTCCACATGACTTCTCCAGCACCCAGGGCTGCATCAGGGTAAGTCCATGTGGCTTCTCAGGGATGTCTCGCAGGAAGTGAGCCTTGTCAGATGAGGCAAAGAAGTAGCTAAGGCAGCTGCACACTGGTCTGACCAGAGAACAAGAGACCAGAGAACCAGAAGGGCAAGGGTCACCAAGCCATTTATCTCTCCAATTAATCCCACATGTGTTTATCAGCAAGGTTGACACAATAAACCATAACTATCTCACATGTAGACTCTGAACAGAAGTTTGCTTCTGGGAGGCCAGTTTCCCTAGGAGGAGCCCCAGCAAAACAGTTTGGGGACAGTAAAAAACACCGAGAAGTCCCTGACATGCAGGCCTGACAGCCAAGCAAACTTACTACAACTGGGCAAATGCCATTGTATATATGTGTGTGCAGCATGCCTTCATGGACTTGTCTTCTCCTTGGCAAATGTCTTCCACCCCACATCTAGGCAGCTGCCAAGCTTGTTTTATCCCATAGGATTGATTGCAAGCCAATTCTGTAATGGAAATCAGCAGACATGTGGAACATTCTCTTTGCTATTCATGGGAACTTTATATGAAAGTTTACCCTCGTTCACTTTGTGAAGAGATCACTGTTGGTGCACATCTCCCATGTTTTATCAAATGGTAGCTTTCTGTGCTTCCATTGCCCTTACTAACAAAACAGACCGCCAGTAGTTCCTTCTAGTACTCGAAACATTCTTAGCTCAAGAAACCGCAGACTCACCTTCCTGACACGATTGCTGAAGACAAAATGGGTGCATAAGCAAATGTGAAGATTGCTGATGGTGCCCAGCTATCAAAAGATATAGCATCTGGGGTCTTAAAGGCTTGAGGATAAACAAGCAGGCATCTAGCTGAGAAGCAACAAAGCCAACATGGAAGAAGTACACTAGCCTGTGTGATCATGAGGTGTTGATGGGATCAGGTATCAGGCATCAAAGACCCAGAACAAATAATCATCAATGTGAATGGGTTGGGGGAGAGTGGAATGGAAACCTAAAGTCAATCTGTAGGCAATTATAGAAGGGTCGTGGGGAGGAGACAGGCCAGTCAGGGTGAAGTATAGCACCAATGAAACAGAACTTTCCTCTGGTTCTTTAATGCTTCCTCCTCCCCAACTACCAGACCCTAATTCTACCTTACAAATCTGGCTAGACCAGAGCATGTCCACGGGTACAGATAAGAGCTGGAAACACAGGGAATACAGGACAGATAAACTCCTTGGGACCAATATTGAGAGTAGCCATACCAGGAGGGGAAGGGGAAGGTGGGGAGAGAAAGGAGGAGCCAATCACAATGACCTACCTATAACCCCTTCCCAGGGTGATGGACCACAGATAAGTGGGTAAAGGGACATCGGTCAGTACAAGACATAAAAAAGTAGTAATTTATAAATTATCAAGGGTTCATGAGAGAGGGAGGGAAAAATGAGCTGATACCAAGAAAAGAAAAATGTTTTGAAAATGATGATGGCAACAAATGTACAAATGTGCTTGACACAATAGATGGATGGATGGATTGTGATGAGTTGTATGAGCCCCAGTAACATGATTTATTATAAAAACATTAAGATAAAAATTTTTCTGATTGTAGGTCAAAAAAAGAAACAGCAGACTATGATTAATTATCATGTAAAATGTGTATTCTTTGATGAGTGACCTAAAATGTGTCTACCTATACCTACATCTATCTATACCTTGCATTTAGCTGAATGGTTGGGCATGTGGTCTTGGAGTCAGCACAGCCCTCCAGGATGGCGTTCTCATGACCTTGAGCATGGTGACAAGCAAGGTAAGGACTTGGGAAAGGGAACAGGATGCCCATGGGAATGAGTAGTATATGAGGGGGTTCCCCCCCAAGCCCAGAATTTCCCCCACTCCCAAAGCTATGTATTTAAAATTTTTAACAATTACACCTTCTCCTTTACATGTAATACATTTGTCATATCTGCAATTCCATTCTTGGAAACATTTTTGAAACTCATCTATTTGAATGGCTGGCAGGACCTCCCTTGTTTTTTTCCTTCACCTCTTCTTTTTCGGCAAATCACTGTCCTTTCATGTTCCTCTTTATTTATAGAAACAAAAAGAAGTCGCATGGAGAGAGGTCAGGTTAGTAAGGTATGTGGGGCAAGAGAGGCATGCTGTTTTTTTTGCCAAAAATGGGTGCACTGAGATGGCTGTGTGAGCAGGTGCATTATCATGGTAGCAAAACCAGTCCCCCATCTGTCACAAATCAGGCCTTTTTGTCGTACACTGTTATGCAATCTTTTCAAACCCTCTACATAGAAAGCTTTGGGAAACTAACACGAAGGGAGATGGGAGGAGGACTGTATTCACTAACTTATAACAGAGGGAATCTGGAAAGCTTGTATCCCATGGTAGGAAAGCCACCACTTTGTTAATTTATAGATAAAGTCCAAGTATATTATCCTGCATTAAATATCATTCCCACAGATTCTCCCCTAAGAGCTATGCTGCCTTAAAGTGAGCACATGGTTGAGTGTAAATCCCTATAGAAGCAGACATTCTTTGGTCATGTCATCCTGCCATGGCACCCATCCCCTCTCATGCCTTCTCCCAATGCAGGTCTTGGGTTTCCTCACCTGTGAGCTCAGGACTTTACTGTGGTTACCACCTACCTTGTGACGTATGTAACTACTGAATATGCATGTCTTATGGCTACCTATAAATATCCCAAGACAGTAAAGAGTCGCTCTCTCTTCCGCCACCTCCATGTGGACCACCAAAAGGGGCTGAGGTGAGCATACTACCATAAAATGTGTCTGACTCCTTTATTCTAGTCTCTCTCCTATCTTCTATGGCTTTATTCTAACCTTTATATATTTTAACTGACCATTGTGCCTGTGGAACCCTCAGTTGTTAGAGGCTGGTTTCCTCAACTAGAAAGCTGACCTGGTGGAAAGAGTCAACATTTTAGTCTGTTTGGGAAATTTACAGATGTCTAGAACAAGGTTTGTTATCAATTGACATTTTACCTTTATTGAAATGAGAAAGCCATTTGTACACTTGAGTTTTTCCTATAGTGCTGTACTTGTAAGCTGTTTTCAACATCACCATAGTTTTTGTGGCATTTTTCCTGAGCAGGAAACATTTCACAGCTGTATGCTTAAATCAACCATCACAAAAAAATGAGGTTAGAGCAAAACTGCTTTGATGAAAAAATTAACTGACCAGAGAGAATCTTCCCAGGCGATGCCGCTGGGCGCACTAACCCAGTGCGAGTTGCTGGATGCTCGCCTGGGGCGGGGGGTGGGGAGCGTGGGGGGTGGGATGCAAAAATGTGTACTATGAAAGCTCTGCCCAGCAGAGGCTCCCTGCCCTCCCCCGCAAGACTTCCTGCCTGCATCCTCTCTGAATAGTGAGCTTGTTCAGTTTTCAAAGAAAAGCTTGCTATTTGGGGATTCTGTATCTTATCATGCCCTGGTGGTACAGTGAGTAAAGCACCAGCCATTCCAAGATGAGGCCGGCTGCTTCCGGAAAGGTTTGTGGTCTCGGGAACGATAAAGAGCAGTGTACTCTGCCCTGTTGCTGTGAGTAGACACCGGCTCAGTGGCAGAGAGTTTGGGTATCTTACCTTATTTAGGTAGGCAGTTTTGAACCTTTCAAAGAGCCTCTCTCCCCTTGGGAAGAAATAAATAGTAGAAGTTTCAGGACAAAAAATGTATTCCCTCTGCTCCTGAAGGTAGAGCTCAGATTCCTCAGGGCTCAGCTGGCACTGTAGGGTTATGGCAGCAGCATTACTGAAGACAGCAGCAGACATATCTTCTGTTCGCAAAGCTTTCTCTGCCCAGTTTCCCCACCCAGTTCAGTGACTTACGTGATGTCAGCCTGCTGACACTGGTGCATATAGCAAAACAGTTATGCTAATGTAACATAATTGCCTTTTAAAGTAATATGTATGCTCCCTTCATGTGGGAATAATTGAGATTTTTTGAAAGCTTTGTGTTATTTTGCTACACTTGGCTTTAAAAAATGCCT